TTTTTTTTTTTGTTAAATTATATACAAAGGAACATTTATGTACAGTATGTACAAATTTTCACTATTCAATTAGTGTGCCATCACTAAAACTAAAAATACGAAGGTTTGATTGAGTGATAGCACTTTTTAAAAAAATTCTATTGAACGTCTTCTTATGAAAATATCTATTACGGCGTTGGATAAAAATAAAAGTTCAATGCATTTCTTAAAAGCTGATGAAAAAAGAAAAATTTTAAGACCTTTTCAATGATGTGCCTCTAATTGTATTCCTGTGGCAACAATTTAAAGATGATAATAAAAATCGTGATTTCATTTAAATTTATACATTTTTGAAAGGCACAACTGCATTTTTGCTTTGAACAAGTCAATCTATGGTGTGATTGAAAAATTTTTTTTTTGAGTGAAATAAATTTTATTAAGTTAAAAATATGCTGAAAACACTTTTTTGGAGTCTTTAACCCCTCTTTTCTGAAAATCCTGACGTGCTAAGCAAATTTAGGTGCCACTATCGTGTTCAAAGGACGAAAATACTTTGGAAACCACTCCGATATCAAAAATAAAAAAAGTTGAATTTTTTAATTTTATATGTAATTTATTAACATTAAAGAGTTTAAAGAGTTAAGCATTGACGGCGTGAGCTAAAAATGAATCACGCATATGAATTTGTAGTGCTAAAATGTACTTAAACGTGTATACAAAGTGACATCAATGTGCCTGCAAATTAAAAAAAAAGAAATTTTTTTTTTTCTTGAAAGTTGAAAGTTTCGTGGATTTGCCCATATATGAGAGATTCTTTTTCAATCGCCCCAGCCCAAAAAGTCAATGTTCTGGGATTGGCTTCATACTTTGGTAAATTGTTGTCCTATATGATAGTAATAAATCCCTAAAATATAAACTCATTAAAAAAATATTTGTAGAAAGTAGAGGGGGTTGAAGTTTTGACGTTAAGGGTAACCTTGTCATTTTCAAATCCGTTTAACTATGACAAAAGTTAATGGATTTTAATTTATCTATAATGAATTTTATTGCATTTTTCACGTACTTTTCAAAAATGTATACGAAATTTAAAAAAAAAAATTTTTAACCCCTTTTTTGTCAAAATCAACCCTTATTTTTCGATTTTCACCCCTTCGGGTATTTTTTTTTTTTTTTTTTTTATTTTCATTGGAAAGCTGAGGTTTTTTCTGATGAGCTATGTAAATATGAAAATGGGACAACAATAATTTTGTGAGAAACAGAATATTAAAGTAGGCGGTGCCGATAAGGGGTGTACCTGGAGATCATCTTTGAGGATTTAGATAGGCACCGCCTAATTTAATATTATGTTTCTCACAAAATTATTGTTGTCCCATTTTCATATTTACATAGCTCATGGGAAAAAACCTCAGCTTTCCAATGAAAATAAAAAAAAAACAAAAAAAAATTCCCGAAGGGGTGAAAATCGAAAAATAAGGGTTGATTTTGAAAAAAAAGGGGTCAAAAATTTTTTTTTTTTAATTTTGTATACATTTTTGAAAAGTACGTGAAAAATGCAATAAAATTCATTATAGATAAATTAAAATCCATTAACTTTTGTCATAGTGATACAGATTTGAAAATGACAATGTTACCCTTAACGGCACCCTTATCGGCACCGCCTACTTTAATATTCTGTTTCTCACAAAATTATTGTTGTCCCATTTTCATATTTACATAGCTCATCGGAAAAAACCTCAGCTTTCCAATGAAAATAAAAAAAAAAAAAAAAAAAATACCCGAAGGGGTGAAAATCGAAAAATAAGGGTTGATTTTGACAAAAAAGGGGTTAAAAATTTTTTTTTTTAAATTTCGTATACATTTTTGAAAAGTACGTGAAAAATGCAATAAAATTCATTATAGATAAATTAAAATCCATTAACTTTTGTCATAGTTAAACGGATTTGAAAATGACAAGGTTACCCTTAACGTCAAAACTTCAACCCCCTCTACTTTCTACAAATATTTTTTTAATGAGTTTATATTTTAGGGATTTATTACTATCATATAGGACAACAATTTACCAAAGTATGAAGCCAATCCCAGAACATTGACTTTTTGGGCTGGGGCGATTGAAAAAGAATCTCTCATATGTATATTATTATTTTACTTTGTGGAAATTTAGTACTGTTTGTTATAATTAAAAAAATATCAATGTCATTAATTTGAAAGAGAAATTAAGCAAAATAAATTATTTATTTTTAATTGATATTGGCACGTGCTAGAAATGCCTCGAGACTTGCCAGCAGATACAGTAAAGAATCCACTAGTGAGCCTCAAACTTTATATCGGTCCCAAGGGTGGTGGGAGTTATGTGTGGTACTGGGGTAGCAAATTGTTTCCACAAAACATAGATTGACTCCGCCCGCTCAAGTGACTAACCAATCAGGTTCAGTCCTCCCCACCCAAGTATCGTTTTCGATTCATATAAATATCGCACCGCAATCAAGCAGTGGCAATCATGAGGGTGAAACGCAATGTAATATAGTGAATGCAGAGCACTATGCGAGTCATTGAGTAACTAGAAAAATAATCGTGCACTTGACTTCAACAGTTTTGAGTGGCAAATAAAGCGAGAAATTAATTAATAATTCTATTAAGTTTTATTATTTGATAATTAATATTTTAACAATTAATATAATTTTTAATATTTAATAATTATTATTTTAGATTTAGAATAATATCAGAATTAAATGACTAAAAAGTGAATTTATTATTTATCTTAATTTAATATTTCGTGATCTATTTTTATTAAAAATTATTTATTTATTATATAAATTTCATTATATTACTTACAATAATAGTGGCAAATATATTTTTGAAAATTCACGTAATATTTTGACAGCACAATTAAATTACATTCATTAAATTAAAAAGAAAAAATATTTTCTAACCTACAAAATTTTCTAATGCGTGCATTAAGATGCATGAATTTCCGAAAATTTTCGAATTATAAAATTGCTACTTATCGATGATTATTATCAATTTTGTCACTTTTTGATTTTAATCTCACTTATTCCTTCAGTTTTTGATCTTCGCCGGTATTTATTTAGGAAGATCGCTTAGATTTAGAAAATTTAGAAAGTAGTAGCTTCAAAACTCCAGCAGTTTTGAGTGTCAGTGACGTCACAGAAAATTAAAAGGCATTAAAATAAGCTGCAACGCTTCTTATTTTAATCCAATTTTGCTTATTTTAATCCATTTTGGTATTAAAATAAGCAAAATTGGATTAAAATAAGAAGCGTTGCAGCTTATTTTAATGCCTTTTAATTTTCTGTGGTTACGCGAAATGCTATCGTTCGTTACATCTCCGTGGTGGCAATAATGAAAACCCTCTATTATCATTTATTTTCATTTATTTATTATTTTTACAAATACAATTTATGAAATATTTAATTTTAACAAAAAAAAAAATAGTATAAAGTTCTCATACATTTTACACTATTGGTTAGTTGCCGAATCATACAAATTACATCTTCCAAGTTCCAATTAATTGTTCGGTGCATTGTTTCATTTGGAATAATTACCTCACAAGTTGCATACGAGTTGTTTCCTTAAGAATTCTCTGTGCATTTGTAGCCTCTTGCATTTAGTTTCGGGCTAAATTCTATTAGACTATATACATGTGTATACCTACTGCGGTGAAGTGAAATCAAAGAAATTGTAAGAGAATGTGTTTCAGAGTACGCTGAAGCTTAGGGAACTTGAAACTAAATTTTGTAATATACATACATACATACATACACACACACATATATATAGAAGAAGTGAAAATTTAATCTGATTTTCAAGTCCCTTTGTGCATATACAGAAAAGCAATTGACAAAATTTACTATCTCTCTCAAAACTTGAGAGCAATTTCAACACGCAATCGTTAAAGATTATTGCAGAACTAAAGAAAGCGCTCACCAAGAGCCTAAGCATCAGGTATTCCGTGTATATCTGGTACTGTCAGGCAGTTGATGCAAATTGGTTTCGTTGCCCGGAAGAACATGAAAATCAAATCGATTGCTGATATCAAAGTGTGTGAACTCGTTTAAAAAGTTTTTTTTCTCACAACTTTTTCATCTGACAATTCTATTTAAAAAAAAAAAAGAAAATTATTGACCCTCTACGGAAAATTATGGTTCAAAGAACTTGCAATTTTTGATGTATCTATATTATTTTTTTCTATTTAGAGCGTGAAAAGATTTCCAATATTCTCGAAATCGATATATAGAAAAATATAATTCTAAAAAAAAAATTAATTAAAAATATACATCTTTAAAAATAAATCAGAAATGTAATTTATACTTTATAAATAATATAAGACAACTATTACTTTAGTAAAATATGTGAAAATATTAAAAAACATTTCCTTTGGAAAATATAAATTGTCTTCTCTCATAAAAGTATCAACGATATAATTTCAATTTAATTTCATTATTACCTTGAATTTTAGTGAATCCTGAGAAACCTTCACAACTATGAACTCACTTGGTGTATTTAGATATGTATGTATATATATAAGGTCTAGAAACTCTCGTGGTACTTTTGGTATTGCTCTGAATTCCAGAGATGCAATTTAAATTTTCTGTATCCAGTATGCGTGTAGAGAACTTGAGTTAAATCTACTCAGAATGTTGGTGAAGTTTATGGAGAAAAGTTTTTTTTTCCAACTTTTTGATAATATTCCTTGTAATAAGATTATTTTTATATTCTATTATTATTAAAAACATGGAATTGCCTTGAAAATTACATTTATTGTAGAAAAAAAATTAAATCTTTAAATCCACTAGAGATTAACTACTACAGAAATATCAAGTTATTATGAAAATTCGATAAAATATTATTTTATGTACACATCCTTTGAGTTAGAGATTACTTTGTAATAGTAAATGAAATAAAAAAAAAAATTTTTTTTAATGTCAGAAACTTTTAAAGTTCATCAAAATCTGCAAAAGTCAGATAAAAGACGCAAAAAACGAGTAAATGAAGTAAAAAAGTGGAAAAAAATTACGTGCATTTTCTCATCAGATATGCAGAATGGACTACCTTTCAACATCACTTTTCTGTTGCTCGAACAATTCTTCGATTGCTCATTCTGGAATATTATAGATATAACAATTTTTTAGATTCAAAAGTAAAAATTGAATTTTTATGTAAAATAAATATGACCAATAAAATAAACAACAATATTTCATTTGGAAGATATTTTTAGAATAATATAAAACGATGGTGAGAGCAAAGAAAATAAATAAAATAACCGAAATATAAAAAGTTATTATTTTTTAAAATTACGAAACTAGAAATTATTTCAATATTTATTTTTTGGAAAAATTCATTGTAACAAAAAATATAATTAAATTGTAAATTGTATTTTATAAACAATTATTTATTTACAAATATATTTATTTATTTAACAAATTAATTAAAAGCAATATTTATTTTATTATTAAATAAGTTACGGTGACGTGATAAATGAAATAAAAATAAATAAATATCAAGTTTCCTGGAAGATGGTTATTTAGACATCTTTAGAGGAACCTAATCCGACATATATATACTTAAAAAAAAGCACCTTCATTGGACCTTCAGCGTCGAGTTTTTAAATCCATCCGTGCAAGGGTTACTTGTTTTCTTTTTCTCTTTTTGCCTTCCTTAACTTTTTACTTTATTTCGGTTTTCATCCGGAACTCTGAGGAGATTAAGCGAGACCGAAAAGCTCGCAAGTATTCCATGGCGCCCCGGTAAACGAAAACGTTTTGCTTTCTTTATTTCTTAAACTCACCGCTCAAGTTAATTGCAATTAGACCGTGCCACCTCGATGAGCGAGAACCCACAGTCGAGTGAATCTACCTTAAAATTAAAGACTTATATTTTTTCAATTCATGATAGTTGGAGAAAAAAAAGATTCTTTTTATTCGTGAATTTTATACTTTTTCCAACTTTCTATAAGAATAAGATATATGAAAACAACTAACAATGCTCATACCATAGACTTATGACTTGAAATGGAGCTATACCACTTTTTCCATTTCTTTAAAACAGTAAAAATATAATTTGATTAAAAAATTTTTTTAAGTATATATAATAAAATCTAAAAATTTTACTGCAAACAATTTGTGAGTATTAAAAATATATATGTGGATTTGATTACTTAGAAATAATCTCTAGAACTTTATCTTTATACCTCCACCTCCTAGTGCCCATCCTATCTTTTTAAACTTTAATCCATATTCTTTCTTGACGCCTTTTTTCGCTTTACCCTTTTTTAGAATTTTACCTCCCTCTTCTTTCATCTTGCACTTTCTTAGATACTCTTTAACTTTAGATCTTTTTACTTTTCTTTACCTCTCCTATTACTTCATCTCTTTTATCGTTTTTTTTTTACTTTTTCTTTACTCCTTACATACTTATGTAATCTTTTTTCCTTTTTTTATTTTGTACAATAGTACTTTTTAAAATTAAAAAATGCTAATTTTCATCAATAATTAGAACCAACATGCGCCAAAATCAATAAAATCAGCCTTAATAAGGACAAAATTATAATTTTTTTTGAAAATTTATAAATCTTTTTTATTTCTATTGCATTACTAATTAATTTTTTTTTATAATGTAATATAATACCGTCTGACAAAATTGAACTATTTTTTTGACCCACAAAAAATCCAACATTTTTGGAAACTAGGACCCAAAAAAATTACCCGTATCTGTCCGTTTTGCTAGATCAAGTCGTTTGTGATTTTTAGGGGTGAAAACAGCCCCTAAATAAAAAATGACAAGATATCTTTTAAAAATTATTAATATTTTATAAAACTTGGTATCTGGGGGTTTTCGGGGTCGCTGATTATTAATCTGATGTCAGATTTTCAAAATTCAAAATGGCGGATTCAATATGGCGGTCAAAATTTTAAAAAGTTATTATGAAGGGCGCCTACTTTAGAAGGTAAAAAACTGCGTACATTTCAGGAATTTTTTTCCCAAACACATTTAAATAAATCGATGCGAGATTTAGTGTATGTTTTCTTATATATTTAAATCTTTGAAATATAATTTTTTGATTAAATGAAAATAGAATTTAATAATAAAATAAACGCCATATATATAACGCCTCGCTGCTGAAATTTTCCCATTGCGTACAACCTAGGGTCCACAATTCTTATCTAAAACAAAAAAACAAAATTTTTTCTTTAAATATACATTATTGCCTTCTGTATGAATTAAAAGATTTCAATAGAAAGTAAAAACTGACATTTTTACATGACTTTTTTAAAAAAAATTTAATTTTCGCCAAAAAAATCTCATTTTTTCTTTAAAAGAAAGCACTAAATTTAACTCTATCAAAAACAAATTTAGTTCATACAGAAGAGACACTTTTTATCTTTAAAACAAGCCAAGGTACACCTTAATCGGTTGAATAGATTTTTGTCTATCGTGTACGCAAACTACAAAAACAGTGTTTTGAGAAAAACGAGTTTAAAGATTGAAAAACTATTTATTAAAAACATACGGCAGTCACAGGCCTCGATGAACGACTTTTTTTATGGGTAGCTCTTGGATAAGACGACATTTTACTGATAAATGGTAATTTTAATGGTAGGTGTAATAGTAGATAAGTGCAACTTTGACGTAATATTTTAAGAGCATATTCTCTGATAGTTGTACTTTCAGTTAAGACAACTTTTAAAAAATCGATTTTTTTGACCCGATAAAGTAGGCGCCCCCCTTAAATTATTTTTAAACCTTGATATCTAGGGGTTTTTTGGCTCGCTGATGACGAATCTGATGTTAAATTTTCAAAATTCAAAATGGCGGATATAAAATAAAAAATTAATAACTTTTTAAAAATTTGATCGCCATATTGGATCCGCCATTTTGAATTTTGAAAATCTGACATCAGATTAATAATCAGTGGCCCCGAAAACCCCCAGATACCAATTTTTATAAAATATTAATAATTTTTAAAAGATATCTTGTCACTTTTCATTTAGGGGTTGTTTTCACCTCTAAAAACCACAAACGACGTGATCTAGCAAAACGGCCAGACACGGGTATTTTTTTTTGAGTCCTAGTTTCCGAAAATGTTAAATTTTTTTGTGTGTCAAAAATTGTGTCGGACGGTGTAATATTATTTTCTACTTACAATCAAATTCGTTACACACGTCTGGAAATTTGTTTGATATCCTGTGTTTCATAACACAAATCACTTTATAGGCATATTGATATTTTAGCACAATCGACACTTTTTAAAATTTATTTTGTACATTATTCTTTCTTTTTATAAAAAGCAAACTTTAATATTAATACTCGCATTCTGATTATGCAATGATAAACAGAATAATCTGCTTTGTCGCAAAAAAATTTTAAATCATCGAAACAACAATTCCTTTTTTATTTTTGGTATTAAATTTTTTTTCTCTATTTCCTTTGGTTCTTTTTTTTCAGCGACTTTTAGGAAAAGACTTGAGCTGAAAATTTTTTGACTGCTAAAATAAAATTTCGCTTAAACGAACCGCGTAATATATATATATATATATATATATATGCACACTTTTTTTCATCTCATGGTTTAAAATGAGGAAAGGCAGAAAGTAAAGAACGAAAAAGTAAAATAAAAGGAGTGTTTTGCAGTGAATGAAGTGAGCGCCCTTGTGCGGTGTAGTCAAGTCAAGAAGTCTCACACAAAAGCGATTAAGTACCGGTGCTCAGACATTCGACCCTGTTGCCGCCCTTTTTCTGCGTCTTAAGTTTTATACCTCCTGTGAGCGCGTGTGTCTACTTTTCTCTTTTTTTGCTGTAGGATTTTCCCTTTTTTAAATCATATATTTCCTTTTTGTCGCACACAGAAAAATGATACAATTTTTTTTTATGTGAATTTAAGAACTCTGTCATTTTTGCGTCAAAAAAAAAAAAAAAAAAGAAAGAAATTTTTTTTTCTTTAGCTGCCTGAGCAAACGATATGATTGCTTGTTTTACTACCGTTTGTTATCACGAACAGTGCAATATCGTCTTGAACAAACAGTGACGCGAACGGAAGTAAAAACAGTCAAGCCGTGAGTAATATTGCGAGCTTCTCTAACGGGTGTCAGATTTTCTCCAAGTGTCTCTTATCTCAAAAGATATGTCAGATTTAATATAAATCAAAAACTATGTAACATACAATTTGTAAAACAAAAAAAAATTAAATAGTTAAATCATATAATAAAAAAAATAATCATGAAAATTAATCAAAACAACGAATCAAAAATCACATGACATAATAAATTAGAAATATATGGACAATAATCAGAATCGATCAAGAAAAAAAAATAATTACCAAGAAAATAAATATATAGATATAGTTTGAACAGATCAATGATAATATTTATTAAAATTAGATAAGATTTCACGTATGATGCATCATTTAGATCATAAGCATTGATCGAAACAATATAAAACAAATATATATACACATATAAAAACTCCTTCACGTCAAACACACATTCACACTTACATACATTAATTTAAAAGAATTAAATACACATATATATATAATTATTGTAGTCCATAAAATTGTAAAACAAAAAAAAAGATAAAACAATAATACTCATTCCTCGCAGCAAACAACGATGAACTCGACGACATACGGTGCTGAGTGGGGATGGAGAGATCGACGGATGCTTTTCCTAGATCGTCCAAATTTTACATCAATCCAAATTATACCTTATTGCTCTATGAGATAATTTCGGCCCTTATTTTATTTATGGCTTCAGGTTGTCCCCTTGCACTCTGCCAAATCCGAGTTCACGTTCCCGCTCATACTTTATTAAACGCCACACTTTAAATTTACAAAAAAAAAAAAAAAAACAAAAATCATTTTCTTTTCTTCCAAAAAAAAAAACATTAATTATATAATTGAAACAACCCCTTCTTTAATAAAAAAATATATATATATAATTACAAAAAAAAAGAAACTACCTTTGAGTCTTCGACGTCGGACGTCAAAATATGGCGCGGGATTTTCTTTTATAGAAAATAATGACGAGCGAATGAGGCAGAGAACAAGGAAACCACCGATTTTATCATTTCCTACAAATCTCTCCCTCCCCCGAAGTCAAGCCACAATTCCCCGAATTACACATCGGTTTCGTCGAAATACCCCGAAATTAAACGTGCACAACAAGACATCAACCATTAGGCGCTTATTCTTTTCATAATCGAAATTTTTCTTACAACTAAAACCTTTAATTTCGACATATAAAAATGTGTTTTTTTATAATTTATTTAATAGTATTGACAAATTTTGTAAATATTTCTAAATAAAATAAGTAAAATATTTTTATTTGTTAAAAATTAAATTAAAATAGTAAAATTATTTTAATTTTGTTGAGTCTACGCCCAACATAGTTTTTTTCCGAATTCAGAAAATAATATTTGTCAAACCGCTTTTTGTACATTGTTCTATTGAGAAAGTCTATCTATGATTCTTTTTTTTTATCACCACGATTCTTGTTACTTCAAAAGGGAAGTCATCCTAATTTACAATTGATTAGATGGTCACTCCTTAGAGGATGGGAAAAGCAACGCACTTTAATAAATCTTGCCTACTCTCTTTACGAAGATTCAGTATAAAGGTCCACACATTCTAGGAGAGTTCAGTTCAGATTTTGGTACCAGCACGTCAACTTTATTTACGAAATCTTGTACAAGTACTATTACCTTGCCCAATTTTATACTCAAGTTGAACTTAGAAGAATCTCTGTATCAAATTTTTGAATTTTCTACGTCAAGAAGAACTCATCCAAGTATTCAAGGCTTTGACTTTCCCATAATATTTGGAAATCATCTTTTCTTCCTTTTCTGAAAGAATTTCATTATTTGGGTTTTCATCAAGGTCAACTGAACTCTGGACCTGTGGTCATCACCAAGGCTTTTTAACTAAATCCATCCTTATAAAAATTTCTAGTAACCTTTACATTTCTTGTTGCAGTGGAATGCAGACTTCCTTTATTTTCAAGAATGATTGCTTCAGGACACTCTTTCTCAAAGATCAATTTTATAACTCTAAATGTTTGTCTAAATAAACTTGTAATCTTGTCATTAAAAATCAATATTCTCATTCTTCCTATACCCTTAGCTCAGAGCCTTCTGCATTGTAAATGAAACAGGAAAAATTCACTGAATCACCAAGCAGACATAAATATAAAATATTGTATTATTTGTTATTTCTCTATTTAAAAGATAACAATATAATGTTCATTTGACTTGTTCATAATTGCGAAGTTTTTTTCGAAGCTTCATTACTCTTGTTAAAAAACGTCTCAAACATCTTGCAGGTTTTAACATTTGATAATAAAAACGAACAATGAATATAAATATTTTTTTTAAAAAAGAAATAAAACAAAATCTCGTGATTGTCTCAAAGAAAACTAAAAGCAACAAGTCAAAGAGAATTCAGAGAGTCGCGGAAAATCTTATCTTTTCCACTTTCATATAATGAGTGGCTTCTCAACTTTAGAGTTTCGCGTGAAATTCGTGTGAAAACTTTAGCACCCTTGGCGGTTAGGTACAACACAAAACGACTAGACGCAGTTAACTTCTGACTCCAAAGTTGAAAACTTTATCTTTCCACTAAAATTAATTGACGCTACCAAGAAGGAGGCAGGAGTGAACTTCGTCGCGACGCTTTGCGACGTCAAGCACAATGAAATTTGTCTTTACGATTTATAGATTTTCCTTTTATCAATTCAGTATAGTTTTAAAAAAAAAAATTCTAAAACTCTAAATATTATTTTTAAACAAAAATGTTTTTTTCAACACTCTGTATATATGTTACACACGTATATAACTTAAACTTGCAAAGAATTTTTTATTACCATAATGAAACAGAATTGGTGATTAAAATTGATTAAAAATCAACTATCGACTTGGCGAATAAGTGCGAAGGAAAATTTTATTGCATAATTAATAATTTAATTAAAACTTTAGGCTTTCTTTTTGCGTATATACCTACATATATTATATATAGAACAAGTTTTAATTCAGTAGCTCTCGTGTTTTAAAATATTTTCGAAAATTAATTGTGTGTGATGTGATTAAAACTTGTAAAGTTTGCTAACAAAAGTTTCTAGTATCGTGTTCTTTAGTTGTGCATGAAGTTGTGAAAACTTTTAATAGATTATTATTAAAACTGTAGTCCTTTTACAATAAATGAACTAATTACAATGTCGTGGAGCTTTACTTAACTTCTTCTAATGAGATTTTTCAGAACATAAAAAAAATTTTCAAGCAACTTTATTTTTCATTAAAAAGAATATAAAATCTCTTTAAATAATCTCTTTAAATAATCTGGTAATTTTTTTTATAAATAAAATTTTTCGGGAATTAAATAAAATATATTTATTTTAAATAAAATATAAATCAACAATCTATCAATTCTTGTCGAATGCGTCGATTACACTGAAAAGGGTCATATGTGTGTGTTACGTGAATATGCCAACTTTTACTAGCAAATTTTGCCAGTAGTTGTTTGTCACGTGACAGTCTTCCATTCGTATGCATTTTCTGTTGTATCCAATGAAACTTTATAACATGTCCAGTCCATTTTGCAGTGAACATGTATCTCCTACAAAGGAGTTTTGCTGTTTTGACCTCCACTGTATGAGATGCATCAGAGGAACTCAGTCATCTGAGTCTCTAGAGAATTCAACGGTCTGAGATCAAAAGTTTCTTTTATTTATTTATATTTTTCTTTTCTTTTTACAAAATAAAAATTTTCAAATCAAAAACATTCACATGACTTTTTATAAGTTTGTCTATTATTATTAAATATTATTTTTGTCAAAGTTAACCTTTCGCGGGTTATAAAAACAATAAATATTATATTTACTCTTGTATATTTAATTTAAATTAACATTTAGATAATTAATGTCATCTAATATAAGTTAATTATTTTTTGTGTGTCAAATAGAAAAAAATTCTTAAATAAAATAGAGCAAAAAAAAACATAAAACATTTAGGTTAACT